CAGAGATTGGTATTGAAATGTTCGGATCCACATGTTGATGCGTACGTATGGCGCGCGCGGCGCGCAAAAGTATCGTCAGAGCAGTTTTACGGGAGATAGGAGATTGATTCGATGAATCGGGTTCTGAGATCTTCGCCTATTAGTGGTACAGTAATGCATGGGCATGACATGTTCCATGGTATATGCGAACTCACGCTCTGGTGTAATGAATTTCATATTTTTGTATTCAACTGGTGTCTTTGGTTGCACATGCTCCATTTTCCTAGAGCATCTATCTCATGCTGGAGACTCCAACGCTCCAGCGCGGAATGTTGTGGATGGCCTGTGTTCGATACATGGCTCAAGTGTTATAACTCTATTGGTGTTGTTCAGTTCAAACTGATTGTGTTTGCAATGTGGGAAATGATGCATGGGGAGGTGGTAATATATGGGCAGTGATATACGGACGATAATATGCTACACAAACATACTCCATTGACATAGTGTGATACATCGTTACTGAATATTCTCGAGAACTTTGAGTTATACAATTCTCGTAACGGATTCCACACTTATGCGGTTAAATTGACCTCATATTGCGGTTTTCGTTCGAGCCAGATGGCTCGCGAAAACCGCCTCCTTTTTCTCTCGCTAAAGTAACCTTTGGGGGTTAGATCCGGGATTTGCGGACCGCGAACATCCGTCATTGCAAATTTTTGTGCCACGGGCTGGCTAACGAGCTTCTCTAAAGAGGTTCAAAATAGTGTATCTGATGGGACATACCGTATGTGAATTGATCACTGATGAGCAACTGAAATTTTCCAACTGAGGCCGATTCCTTAATTTTTCTGGCAGCAGGTCTACTTGTTGACTCAACAACACTTGGGATAGTCAGAATAGGTAATAAGGCCTCTCACCTTATCCATTTCAGCCTGAGGGCTGCGAGCCGTTTCATGCAACGAGTAATGGGCGAGCGAGATTCCTCGCGTACGCGCGCGAACAACTACACTTGGCATCCCGCACAATGCGGAAGTTCGATCGCGGCTTCATGTTCTGCGCGAGAATCAGCATTAGTCTGTGATGCAAGGCTCAGACAAGGCGAAAATGCAATAGTGAATTAAGGATCAAAAGCCGTTATTCGCCACCTGTATTACCTTCGAAGTTTTGACGTTTGTTCGTCGCAGAAAAGGTAAAGCCACACGTGTTCCGAGACTGAGCGCGTGCGTGCAGTGCCTGTCAATAAACCGGATTCCTCCGGTATATGTGTGTCTCCTGTGTGTTAGCATCCTATTTGCATCACTCGTCAGTGGTTGGAGTAGGCTGGAAGCATTTCTGTATAATGATCATCCAATTCAGCTGTCACCTCAACATCTCTAATGCAACTCTTCACTTCCGCTGTCGCTCTCCTTTCTATGGTTATGGCCATTACGCATTTCAATGCTGCAGATGCCTGTGACCCGGGTGACCCCCGCTCTTGTCCATCTAGGTTTATTTGCGTTTGTACCTTTGGTAACTGTAATTGCGAGTATATCGGTCTGTGATGATGAGCATAGACAACCACTCTCCCGGGGGCTGCCCGTCCTCAAGCTCTTCGTTCTCATCCAGATGATCAGTTGAGGATTCCTTAGTTGTCCCCATTATATCCCCCTACTTTTTCGATTGAGACTCCATGCTATGTCTTCCACATGGATGGTAGTTTGAATCGGTTCAACGCATTCCACCGACCTCCAGGTCGACTTCTTGATAAGATTATCTCGTCAATGATTCTTGAAGAAGTCTTTAAGCTCTTACAGGTCTGATCTTAGCAATTATCGATCTATCGAGTTAGTTAATATGGATGTCCTGAATCATATCTAATGTGACCGTCTCGGCTAGCATAATATCATTGAGATCCTCAGGATAGTACGTAGACACGAAGTTCGTATTACGAATGGAATGCATCTTCGAGCAGAAATACATTGTTGGTCGATCTTCCCATATAGCTAACCGTTGACTGTTGACGGCCCATATTCTCGCAAGTCAGCGTGCGGCCCCTCCTCATTGATTCTACCGACTTCCTATGTCCGGCATAATAATTAGAGTTAAATATTATTAACTACGACAGAGTTATTTTAGGTATTCACTACGTTGAATATTATGCGACATAGTATGTCGCGTGTCTAAGCCAGAACTGAGTAGAGACGATCTCTCAATCTTCTCGTTGAGTGGTCGGAAGTGACCCTCGCCGAGTTAATGTATGTATATGTACCACGGTAGGCCAACGAGCCAAACATTTCGAACTCGGCTTCATTACCGCGGGTATTTTACCCATAAATGCCCGCCAAGCGGACGTACAGAGGAGGGGTCATTTGAAACTCCGCGATCCGAGCTGATGAATTATGGAGAAGGCATGACATTCTCTCCCCACTATTCTTAACCTGCCATGATTATTCTTCACATTCTCCTCAAGCGAGGTCAACTCGTTGGGCCAGTTTACTCGGCGACGGTCTCCGGCGTGTGTGAAGGGACAGTCACGTTGTGTCGACACGACACTTAGCGCTATTTAGCAGTGATTCAAAGCTCTTCCAGGATGTTGGGTTTCATCCCACCTTCGCCTCAGTTATTTGTCGTCCATTTTTCCAACCTCCCGCCCACCCTGGCAATGTGGTGTGGCACCTCACGTTCCGTGTGAGGTTGGCCCAATCACATTGGCCGAGGATCACACTTGTTTAGTGTCATCCTCCGACCCACGACCCAACGCCGGGGAGGACGGAGCCGGGTAATCACAAATAATATTTGCGATGAAGATTGACATTGATATTATCACTAATATGAATGTCAATCTTTATTTGACGATTTCGATACAATCTTCAAGGACAAATCCAAGATTCTCGAACGACTCAAGCTTCACCAACGCTCCATTAACTGAACAGAAAAAGTGAACTGAAAGGAAGTTGATGTACTCCACTCATCAGATCGAATTGTATTTTCTGTGGGCGCAAACTAATGTTGGAGTGATGAACCACAGAGCTCAGCTTGATTTGATGGGAGGAGATACTGAGATGCACATCCGAGGTAGAGCATGCCCCAAAGAGGGTTGTATTCTTCAGACAGAAGTCTTCACTGAGAACTTCGGTTAAACCGACGTTCTCAAGGATGCACTTACTATTTGGGTATGGCCCGAGTCGAGCCGCCCAACCGCTTGGCTTAATCCTGACCTTAACTTTCGCTCGCGAACACCCAGGATACGCGCACGCAAAACCGTCAGTCGTTTCGTCGACCTACTGATGACAAGGGCCCCCATAGGTCTTTTGGTATGTATAACGTGCGAACCCGCGATGGGAAGCCGCGTCTTTTTGCTTTAACTAATGTGATTAGATCTCGTCGTAGCACGCTCAGGTTGCAATGACGAATCTCTTGGGACAGAGTTCGTTCGAACGAGAAGAGGTCGATCGAAGGTCTCCTCCACCCCCTTAAGAACAGCGAAACGTGATGATCTAATCATGTATTGCTTGTATGATAAGGAACGTTCCAATCGGCCCCCATAGGTCTCTACGCGTCATCGTCGCGTGGAGGTGGCCGGGGTTCTTCCGGTGCCAAGTAGCCTCAAAACCCGATCGAGCCTACCACTCTAACACGTCCCCATAAGTGGTGACCAAGAAGCAATGGAGTGCAGAAATTCTACTTACTATCATACTCATAACTCATAGCTGAGTTCCCTTCGAATCGGTTCGATAGGCCTGGGTCGTAGGAGCAAATTGCGCCTTGAACTCAAGTAACACCATAATTATACCTCAAGTAGCTCCTTAACGTTGTGGAGCGAGTTTGTACTCTGCAAGTGTACTTCAGTAACTCGCCTCAGACCCAATGCTTTATGATAGGATTCACCATCAATTCGTATAATAGTAGTCTACCCGACTACTACTGCTTTAATTTGTGACCAACTCCCTGCTAAACTCAACACCCGTCGAATTACTAACCTATGAAAATGATCAGCTATAGGGGAATAAATTGTTCATATGAGGACGATTGACGTCCTCAGTATTGATATCAGTAATCTTCAAAATAATAGCGAAAAGATCTGCCTCTACTTCTTCACCTCATACGGGTTAACCAGATACGCATGACCAGGATGCATTTGCTTAGTGTTGAGATTCTTCACGAACTCCTCCAGCTCTGCACCCTTGAACGCACAGCGATAAATAGCAGCAAACAACGGTAGTTCCTTCTTGATAGGAGCGTCTGCCAACACATCAACAATCTCAAGTAAAGTCAAAGTACCCTGTAACTTCTGACCACCGAGTAATTCACTCTCGATATCCTCCCAAGACTTCTTTCCATCAGCTCTGGCAAATGCCTCAGCACAACGACGGTTTCGACCACCAAAACAAGTAGTGATCAAATCACCAACACCACAACTCTCGAAAAAAGTCTGATCCGGGACGTCAGGGTAGATGAACTTGATAATTTTCCTCATCTCCTCCAAGCCAATACGAAGAACCGCATTTAGAGTTCTTGTTCGTCGCAGAACAAGATAAAGCCACACGTGTCCCGAGACTGAGCGCGTGCGTGCAGTGCCTGTCAATAAACCGGATTCCCCCGGTATATGCTGTCTCCTGTGTGTTAGCATTCTACTTGCATCACTCGTCAGTGGTTGGAGTAGGCTTGAAGCATTTCTGTAAAATGATCATCCAATTCAGCTGTCACCTCAACATTTCTAATGCAACTCTTCACCTCCGCCGTCGCTCTCCTTTCTATGGTTATGGCCATTACGCATTTCAATGCTGCAGATGCCTGTGACCCGGGTGACTCCAACTCTTGTCCGCCTAGGTTTATGTGCGTTTGTACCTTTGGTAACTGTAATTGCCAGTATATCGGTCTTTGATGATGAGCATAGACAACCACTCTCCCTGGGATTGGCCGTCCTCAAGCCGTTCGTTCTCATCCAGATGATCAGTTGAGGATTCCTTAGTTGTCCCCATTATATCCCCCTACTTTTTCGATTGAGACTCCATGCTATGTCTTCCACATAGATGGTAGTTTGAATCGGTTCAGCGCATTCCACCGACCTTCAGGTCGACTTCTTGATAATATTATCTTGTAAATGATTCATGAACAAGTCTCTAGTCTCTATGCTTATATAGATCTAATCTTAGCAATTACCGATATATTGAGTTGGTTAATATGGATGTCCTGAATCATATCTAATGTGACAGTCTCGGCTAGCATAATATCACTGAGATCCTCAGGATAGTACGTAGACACGAAGTTCGTATTACAAATGGAATGCATCCTCGAACAGAAATACATTGTTGGTCGATCCTCCCATATAGTTAACAGTTGACTGTTGACGGCCCATATTCTCGCAAGTCAGCGTGCAGCCCCTCATTGATTCCACCGACTTCCTATGTCCGACATAATAGTTAGAGTTGAATATTATTAACTACGAGAGAGTTATTCTAGGTATTCACTACGTTGAATATTGTGCGACATAGTATGTCGCGTGTCGAAGCCAGAACTGAGTAGAGACGATCTCTCAATCTTCTCGTTGAGTGGTCGGAAGTGACCCTCACCGAGTTAATGTATGTATATGTACCACGGTAGGCCAACGAACCAATCATTTCGAACTCGGCTTCATTACCGCGGGTATTCTACCCATAAATGCCCGCCAAGCGGACGTACAGAGGGGCCATTTGAAACTTCGCGATCCGGGCTGATGAATTATGAAGAAGTCATGACATTCTCTCCCCACTATTCTCAGCCTGCCATGATTATTCTTCACATTCTTCTCAATCGAGGTCAACTTGTTGGGCCAGTTTACTCGGCGACGGTCTCCGGCGTGTGTGAAGGGACAGACACGTTGTGTCGACACGACACTTAGCGCTACTTAGCAGTGATTCAAAGCTCTTCCAGGATGTTGGGTTTCATCCCACCTTCGCCTCAGTTATTTGTCGTCCATTTTTCCAACCGCCCGCCCACCCTGGCGATGTGGTGTGGCACCTCACGTTCCGTGTGAGGTTGGCCCCATCACATTGGCCGAGGATCACACGTGTTTAGTGTCATCCTCCGGCCCACGACCCAACACCGGGGAGGAAGGAGCCGGGTAATCACAAATAATATTTGACGATTTCGATACAATCTCCAAGGACAAATCCAAGATTCTCGAACGACTCAAGCTTCATCAACGCTCCATTAACTGAACACAGACGAAGTGAGCTGAAACGAAGTCGATGTACTCCAGTGGAGTAACTCCACTCCACAGATCGAATTGTATTATCTGTGGGCGTAAATTAATGTTGGAGTTATGAACCACAGAGCTCAGCTTGATTTGATGAGAGAAGGTACTGAGATGCACATCCGAGGTAGAGCATGCCCCAAAGAGGGTTGTATTCTTCAGACAGAAGTCTTCACTGAGAACTTCGGTTAAACCGACGTTCTCAAGGATGCACTTACGATTTGGATATGGCCCGAGTCGAGCCGCCCAACCGCTTGGCTTTATCCTGACCTTAACTTTCGCTCGCGAACGCCCAGGATACGCGCACGCAAAACCGTCAGTCGTTTCTTTTTTTTGATTGAAACGGTCCTTAATAACGAGCAATACATGATACAGCAATCACGTTCTTCTGCCCTAAGGCTACTGCCCTTAATTAACGTCGCTCCGCTCCATCCTCTGGGCTTGGCACCTCCGGCGAGTCTTCTGATTACTCGAATCCGCTCGACTGGTTGTTTCTGTGCTGCTGTCGCTGCTTGAATTTTTATTTTTTAGGTAGGGTCACCTCCCTTAACACGTTTCCTGGCATGCTCTAGGAGCGGGTAGGAGCGCAGGAGATGCCGTAGATTCCCTACCGGGGCTCCACAGTCGCACACCGGAGAGTCGATCACTCCACACCTGTGAAGATGCGCAGGAGTGGGAGCCCTACCAAAAACCACGGCACTGCCAGCGGGCGTAACTTCCCCTCGACTCCATAGCCTCGCATGCGAGGCACAGTAGAAGAAGTCGTTGACGCAAGTGCCTAGACCGGCCCGTTTGTCTGACCACCACCTACGCAGTGCCAGACGCCCGGCTTCGGCCTGATAACGCCTAAGGGTCTTCACACTGATTTCCGTCTCCGCAGAGACTTCCAGAGTCGTTTCATCGACCTACTGATGACAAGGGCCCCCATAGGTCTATTGGTATGCATTGTGTGCGAACCCGTTGTCAGGAGCCGCGTCTTTTTGCTTTAATCTGTGATTAGATCTCGTCGTAGCACGCTCAGGTTGCAATGACGAATCTCTTGGGACAGAGTTCGTTCGAACGAGAAGAAGTCGATCGAAGGTCTCCTCCACCCCCTTAAGAACAGCGAAACGTGATGATCTAATCATGTATTGCTTGTATGATAAGGAACGTTCCAATCGGCCCCCATAGGTCTCTACGCGTCATTGTCGCGTGGAGGTGGCCGGGGTTCTTCCGGTGCCAAGTAGAGATCGAACCTACCACTCTAGCACGTCCTCATGAATGGTGACCAAGAAGCAATGGAGTGCAGAAATTCTACTTACTATCATACTCATAACTCATAGCTGAGTTCCCTTCGAATCGGCTCGATAGGCCTGTGTCGTAGGAGCAAATTGCGCCCTAAACTCAAGTAACACCATAATTATACCTCAAGTAGCTCCTTAACGTTGTGGAGCGAGTTTGTACTCTGCAAATGTACTTCAGTAACTCGCCTCAGACCCAATGCTTTATGATAGGATTCACCATCAATTCGTATAGTAGTAGTCTACCCGACTACTACTGCCTTAATTTGTGACCAACTCCCTGCTGAACTCAAGACCCGTCGAATTACTAACCTATGAAAATGATCAGCTATAGGGGAATAAATTGTTCATATGAGGACGATTGACGTCCTCAGTATTGATATCAGTAATCTTCAAAATAATAGCGAAAAGATCTGCCTCTATTTCTTCACCTCATACGGGTTAACCAGATACGCATGGCCAGGATGCATTTGCTTAGTGTTGAGATTCTTCACGAACTCCTCCAGCTCTGCACCCTTGAACGCACAGCGATAAATAGCAGCAAACAAAGGTAGTTCCTTCTTGATAGGAGCGTCTCCCAACACATCAACAATCTCAAGTAAAGTCAAAGTACCCTGTAACTTCTGACCACCGAGTAATTCACTCTCGATATCCTCCCAAGACTTCTTTCCATCAGCTCTGGCAAATGCCTCAGCACAACGACGGTTTCGACCACCAAAACAAGTAGTGATCAAATCACCAACACCACAACTCTCGAAAAAAGTCTGATCCGGGACGTCAGGGTAGATGAACTTGATAATTTTCCTCATCTCCTCCAAGCCAATACGTAGAACCGCAGATTTAGAGTTCATTCCAAGACCCAAGCCATCGCAAAACCCAGCGCCAATAGCAACTATGTTCTTCAAAGCACCGCACATTTCAACTCCTTGCACATCTCGTACGTGATTCACAGAAAACATTTCGCTGTCGAAAAGGTTCTGGAGAATCCAAGCAGACTTTCTATCGAAACACCCCAAAGTCGCCTCACAAAACTGATCTCTAGCGACTTCAATAGCAAGATTTCCACCCATTAGAACAGCTACCGTCCTCAGCTGTGGTAGAGCATCGGAAATAAGGTCACTGCATAAGACAATCTTGCTTGACCCGTCGGACTGCAGTTCACGGTCGAAACCACCCTTAATGAGAGATACAGCAATAGCATCATCACGGACTGAATCTCTGATCTGTGAGAGAACTTTTGGCAAAAATTGATGAGGAAGGACGAATATGAGAATATCAGCACCGACAACAGCCTCTTTGAGGTCAGCTTTGGCCACAACATTATCGGGGAGTGTGATACCAGGCAGGTACTTCACATTTTCATGATGTGTATTAATAACATCGACCAAACTTCGCTTCTCGCCCTTGTAATCAACTTCTTCGTCAAATACCCACATCCTCACTTCCTCATCATAATACTTGTTACCATCACGAGTTGCTCTGATAGCAACCAGACGTGAGACGGTCGAACCCCAGTTACCACTACCAATAACAGTAACTCTTCTGGGATACCTGCTGGGCTCGGGGGAAATAGATCTGCTGTGAGAGGAAAACATTGGAAATGATCCAAAACTGGAGCACATATAGCGGGGAAAATTTGCGCATTAAAACTGGGATAGAATTTCAGAAAATTCTTGTTGGTTTCTGTACACTCGGAGTCGAATTCACAGGAGACGAACCTAAATACCCCCAACACTGGTGAGCAAATTACTTATAAGATGGATAACGAACGTATACCGTAACATGTCTGGTGAATTCCACAACACGTAAAAAAAGAAAAGTGCTAGAGAGCTCCCACTAATTGCAACACTCAACACGCTAGGACAACGCAACGGAAATTTCCGCAACGACTATCGATGAAAAACTGAGGTAGAGTATTTATGAAGCAGAGTGAGAAAACATTCACGGGGTTAACTACACGTGTCGGTGATAATGTATGAAAATACCGAGTAAATTTTGAGCAATTCTTGTTGGATTCTGTACACTCCTACCCGAATTCGTATGCAAACTTCTATAATTAGCTTTAGAAACTCCTGAGCTCAGCCGAGGAAAGCGAACATATATTCCCCAACAAGAATTTACCACAATTTCCATATTCTCACCAACACATGTAGTTGACTGTGTGTATATTTTCCCACACTGCTAGTCGGGCTAGTGTACAGACGCTTAATTACCCACTGCAGCTCAGCGTTAGGGCCTCCGGTACGTTAACATGTTCAGCTGTGATACCCCAAGGACTGCGGTGCTCCCCATATCAAAGGGTTTTATGGCAGCTTTGAATTCACACGAACTGTGGGGGCACTCGGTAGTCGGCCGAGTGGAGCTACAGTGTTGATCGGCATGAAGAGCGAAAGAAGGGGACGCGTCCCAACCGGTAGGGCCATGATGATGACAACGTCGTCGATGTACACACACTGACAATTGCTGCGCTCACGGGAAACCAATGAATTCTCAACGACTGAATCACCATTATAGAATCTGAAAAATCCACATACCCATCATAGGGATAATTATATGATGAGTCGAAAAAACATTGATAGATTTTGAAGAGAATTTCAACCTACCTACACTCGTGTTGAGATCCGTCTTCCCAGCAGAGAGGGACGGGGAGGCCTCTGGCGCCCTATGTCAAAGGTCTCCTCTACTGGCACCTGCAGTACCCCCTAGGAAGGTGGTGATGGGGCAAACTCATACGTGGTGAGGGAGGGTGGGTGGGCGTCGAATTTTTTGGACTCGCTGCCCGGTGTGGTGTACTTTCCAACGTGGAGCTGTGAAAGGGGCTGGGCAGTCGCATTTACCGTGACATAAACTTGAAATTATAAACTTAAAAGCGCTAGCCATTCTAATCGATATGCTGATCTTGGTCATTATCCTCACAATGGCCAGTTTATGTCACGGAAAATATGATATTTACTGCCCTGCAAAACTCGCATCCCGCGGATTGAACGCACGACCTACATCAATGAAAATCACTACTTTGACCAGTGAGCCAAAAACCTCCAGTTTATTGAGTGGGTATCGTAAGGAACCTGTCTGAAGACGCCTTAGCCTTAACAGACCCTTGGGGCGTGTTCGTTCTCGCATATGCATATCACTGTCTCCCTTTCCTCCTTGAAGATGCGAGAGGCGTAGGTGGCCCCAGACCACTGACAGTCTATAAACCAGATGCAGTAGTTGATGTTCGCTACTGTCACTGTGCTGGAGAATCCCTTTCTATTTAAATAGGCTTGCTCGTATCGAGTCGATGTCAGGATCGGTATACGTCACCCGTTAACAATCCGAATAACAAGAGACATCATGTTTCGTCCCTCATATTCTAAGCTCATCTCTCTAGCGGACTGTGGAGTATACCGAGGCACCCATTCTCTTCGAGAGCTTCCTCAACTGAGTGCTCCCGAACCATCCTTGACGTGCCTTCAACAACTAGAAGTTGAACGTTACTACACGAAGCTTGTGGAGTGTAGATTGGTGCAAGCACTGGCCCGTGACGCGCTCTCCCGCGAAGCTAGTTACTCTGAGCTATACCTAGCCTGTGTATTTTCGCTGATGTTGTTGCTGCTGGTCCTAACTCTTACTGTGAGGCTATTGACACTCTATCTCATCTATCAGTTACTGCTGAGCGTGCTGGCTCATTTTTCCCACCCTCTGCCATCCGGTAGTTTCTGATTCCCTGCGTCTTGACGTGCATGCAGTCCTCAACTGTGTGAGGATGGCCGTCCGATGGCCACCGATGAAGTCGGCAGGGCTGTACGGGTTGAGCGAACGAGTTTTTGGGTGGGAAGCTGCGATCGGGCCTGTGTTTGCAACGCCAAATCCCTCCTCAACGCACCAATGGAAATTCCCGGGCCCGAGATACTGCAGAGTTAACAAGAGTTTGAAAAGCGGCGGAGCACCAGGCCTTCCCAGGAGATTTGGGCCTCGCATAAGGGGCCTAAACTCCTCTAGTAGATCAAGACAGAATCGTTTGGTGGAGATGAACCTCTCGTAAAACTTTGCATCGGTTAGAGACCCGAGTCCCGCCGTGACGGGATACCTCACGAAATCGACCATTTCTTCAACCTCCGCCATTTGCTCGAAATCGGGATCGACGAACTCCATCAATTCGTCCATTTGGTGTAGGATGGTGATTGGTGTATGGAGAAGCAATCGTGGACTGGGAGCGTTTCGATTCATGTAGATCCTGGGTTCGGGTCCTGGACACGTCGAACATAATGGGCTTTCGAGGAGCCTCCTTGAGATTTAAGTTCGGGAAAAATGAAGAGAGTAGTCGTTGCAGGCTAGGACAGGTGGAGGAAAAATATAACGAATTCTCCTAAATTCGTCATCCCAGATCGCACAGTTTCAAGTGACATTAAGTGAGTGTCCGCCGCTGGGTGGGTATTAATGTGTAGTGAAGTCAAGATGGAATGGTCGATTTGGAGGAATATCTTGGATATCCACCGATTGTTATTCTGAGGTAGAGCATTCTGTTGTAGAAGCTGGCGGCCACAGGGACGAACACCACAAGAGAAGGATGGTAGAAAGACTTCTTAACACCATGAAGACTATAGCGTAACGAGCTAGCTATGCACGTAGAGAGTACGAACAGCGCAACTACCAATGCTCTGAGCATACGTGCCAAAAGAGACTGATATCATCTAGAACACATTCCCAAAAGCAAGATTCGGTAAGTGTCATTTCCGAGCGCAAATTCTTTGGGAAGATGAATAGTTCGTCGCTCCACAGTTCTAACTCCGGGGTGCGATATAAAGAGTCGACGAAATAAAGAGGGGCTGCACGGCGTGCAGTTCACGCTGACTTGAGGTCGATATGGACCATTAACTATATGAATAGATTGATCAACTCGGCATTCCTACTCAAGGATGCATCCCATTCGTCCCTCTTCCATCATGTGGATCTCAGTGATCATATACCAGCCAAGACTGCCACATTAGGATTCATTCAGGACATCGATATTAACCAGATCAATACATTGAGTTAGTTAATATCGATGTCCTGAATATATGTGCTTATCTTCTATCCATGATCATGATTATGGTTTGGTTCTGGCTGAGAAGACTATGCTTGGCAAAGTCAGCAGAGTTGGAAGGATATTCACAACTCAACAACTGATGTTAGACCCTTGAGACTTGAGACGCATACTCAATATCGAATTGGCCGGACTGTAATCCCAAGTTACTTGGAAGTAAGTGCCATGCGAATGATACTGAAATTCAAGCGGTATTCTCGACGACTGACAAAACATGGGGCATATAGCAAAAAAAATACGAGGCATGAAAACGGCTCATGAATCTCCAGCTCACCGCCGAAACGGGGTCGTAGAAACCAAGAACGGAGAGCCTCACGAAGTGATAGTTGGTCAGCCCTAGTGTAATCCGCTCCACACGCAAATGCAGCTACTGCTGCAGTCACAAATCATCCTAGGCGGACAAGTTCTGTAGTCCTTTGGATCACAGGCAGCGGTATCCTTCATGTTGATAACGGCCAGGAGCATCAGAGCGAACGTACGAGTTGAGAATTGCATCAGAATTGTAGCGATAAGAGCTGCACGAGAAACATACTCCGAGCTGTGCAAAGGGGAATACCAATGGACGGGAGACACCGAAGGGTAACAGTCCTGTACCCGGACTCCGGCTACCCTTCATGCCTTCTTCTGTTCGCACTGGAAACTTCCTTAGCAACTAGAACTTCTCCCAGCACTGTACGTACATACAGGTACACGTGAGTCGTCGCGTCACGTGGCGTGAGATCCATAATAGCATACAGATGCAGCATAGTTGTTGGTTCCTTCTAACCCCAGGAAGAGTGATGATACGAATGTATTCATCATGACATCAACGATCCATCACTCATACCAGGAAGAGTAGAACAAAACGGACCCAGGGCATTTTCAAAGGTGACAGCGCATAGCTCGGAAATGGAGGTGGCGCGTGTTTCTAGCTCCACATTGTGGAGTCACTCCACAATGCGTGTATCACTTGCTTGTCACCAGGTAGCGAGCGGCTCTGATCTTCATATGTGATGGTGTAGTTCTCAGCTCCGCAGTAGCCTTGTATTTTATCCATTCTGATAACGTAGTAGACGGCACAGACCACGCTTAGAGGGCGACACCTGCGCAGGTGCTCGCAGCATTCGATGCTTTTATTCATCGATCGGACGCTTCGAAAGTGTCTCATTGCTGAGTACTTGCTGCCGGTGTGCAGTTGAAAAGTTGCAGAGGTATAAATAACGAGTTCCGAATCGGAACTTCCGATCGATTAGGTGGGATAAGGAGTAGATGTAGCACGATCGCACAGAGCCAAGACGTGGCCGATAAATCTGCGTCTCCCTTTAACTTGGGTTGAAATCCCGGTCACCTTGCACCACAGTGTTTGACACCAACTCTCTCTGATAAGCACAGCGGTGGGTCACCGTGACGGTCACGAAGACACCGTCGGTGACGTGGCTTGTCTTGCACGCACGGACGTACACTACTCACGCAGCGGACTGCCTTGGATTCACCCTTGATCGCTGAAATCTCGAAGTGATGGGTCCTCGGTGCTAGCGGCGAACTTGCGAAGTTCGCACTGCGAACTGCTGTTGCGTATCGAACTTTCTTTCAGTGATGGCCCTCGTGAAAGTCGGCACTACGAGAGTGACACCAGTCGTGAATCAACTCTTCTTGGTGACGACGATAATGTCCC